CTACTCAAGTTTCACATTTATATGCAATTTCGGATCGATATTACATCATTAACAATTTTTCATTTCGGCGACCAGCACGACACTAATTGTTAATTGTTTAAAAATTGTTTAAAAATTGTTAATGATGTAATATCGATCCGAAATTGCATATAAATGTGAAACTTGAGTAGAAATATCGGGAACTCTCGCCAGAAATGATATTAGTGAATGCGTTCTGGTACTTTAGAGGGGAGGGTGTCGTGCTAGATTCGCGAAGTTCGCGGGGGGCGCCCAGAAGTTATAGCTCTGCTACATCCTGGGCGTCCCCCAAGTAAAAGCACCGCGCAGGTCACCGTGTGGTTTTAGTGCGGTAGGCCAAGCCGCCGCAACATTAGCGGCGGCACCCCGATCGTCATTAGGGGGGCAGTCCCACATAACCCGGGCCATTTGTAAACTCCCTTCCCAGAGGGGGGCCCGGGTATCCATAAAGGATTTCCACACGTAAAAAAAAAAAAAATGATTCGCGAAGTTAGCACGACGTTTTTTAAAATGTGAGTTTTTCATATAAGGAGTGCGGAACTCTTTCTAATTTTTATCAGGAACTGTAGAACTATGAAAAGTGCTATTGGAACTCTTGGTATCTTTTTAGAATTCGTAGAATGCCGTGTCAACTTCACAGACACGCCTGATACATTTTTACTTTTTACTGGAGAGAATCCTTCAATACTTGTTCATCGTTAAAAATTAATGCAAATTAATAGATTTTTAATACAAATGTGTACTATTAATAAAATTATCGTAAATCATCTTTTTAATCAATTATTTTAATCATTAAAATTATCAACAGATGATTTCTTTACGAAAAGACGTACACGTTGGCCAAGAGTGGACACCTATCATTCTTTTTATTTTTTCTATTATTTTAATTATTTTATTAAGACATGGTAGTGTCTCATGCATAAAACAGACGCGAGAAGATATAGACAAGCCAAGCCGCTAGCCGCTACATCGAAAATTGTTAGCTGAAACGCATGTAACGCGTGCAAGCTATATTCCATTATAGCGCGGAGAAAAAAAAGACATATACGTCTGTCCTCTTCTACCGCCGAAGCCGACCGAACCGCGCCGAGCCGCGCCGATCAGCCCGCCGTCCGATACACGACCGCGTGGTTGCGTGCGTCCCGGGCGCCCCACCACGCGCCACCCACCCACTACCGCGGTGGCTAGGTGGCAGAAACGCAAATCTGAGATCACTGCCGGCGACGACAAGAGGAACTTAACAAGAGGAAGAATAACTCCCCCGACGAAAAGCACTCCCTAATAACCTTTTAAGGTGCGAATTCATGGCAGCGAGAAGTCGCTGGCGTCTTGGGAGAAGTGGGGGAAAAGTGACGCCAGCGACAAGTATCCGTCGCTTGTCTCCCGCTCCATATTCATGTGACGACAAATCGCTAGCGACTTGTCAGTTAAAATTGCTAGCGACTTTGATGTCAGTTAATAATTGCAGAGAAATAATTATTGTTTGTGATAAAAATTAAAGAGTAGTGAATAAAAATGAAAGTGATAATACGTTCAAACGGGGTGTATACCGCTCAGTGTGCAAATAATTTGAAAATAGCGATAACAAGAGCTGTCAGGAAGCGACGGATAATGACTGCGATTGCTGTAATGTTGGAGCTGCAAAGAACGCAAAAGAAGCGAGATTACAAAAAGAAACAGTATTGGGTAGCCCCATACTTGAAAGATCGTCAGAAGCATAGCTTCTTTCATGTGTCCATCCCTAAACTGGCATTGGAAGATGGTATACGTTATCGTAACTATTTTCGAATGTCGGCAACGCAGTTGGAAGAACTGTTGTTATTAGTTGGAGCTCAACTGCAAAAAATTAATGCTGTTCGAGAGTGCATAGGACCTAAAGAACGCTTGGCGTTAACATTAAGGTTTGTTACGTTTTATTACACATAATAAGTAATAGTACAAAAATTTGTTATAGTGTTTGCTTCTATGCTTTCATTGTTTCAGATATCTTGCATCTGGTGATTCGATGGTATCAATGTCATACCAATATCTGATTGTGAATTTTGCGTTGTCTCCTGAACATATCAGACAATGACTTCCACTTCTTTTTGATCTGACCTACAGTCATTTCTCCTAAGGACAAAAACGCGATAAATACATTTGTAACAGACATGGCTCTCATACCTCAATTAAAAAATGTTATACCTTTCATGTTAACAGCAATCTCTTCCCACAGCTTCTCCTTAGTACGGGCGCCCCTTTCGGAAATGTGCAATTTAAAGTTCCAAAGAGGTGGTCGTTTCCGTACTTCCTCTATAAGAATTTCCTCATTGCGTATTTTCCTCTCTAATAGGTTCATCGGACAATCATTGCTGTTCGAACAGTCACCCTCGATGTTTGTATCCACCACCATTAGCTGATCGGCTTCATCCTGCTCGGCTTGTTCTTCGACGAGAACCTCTTGTCCTCCAACAAGACTTTTTCTAATAATCGATCCATCATCTGTAAAAATATGATGATATAAACACATAATCTAACATTTAGCATCTGCAGTAATTTCACCACTATACTTTATACCGCACTGCGGATGGAAATAATAATTTTGGTCTACGAAGTGTCTCGTAAATCCTCTCAAGCAGGGATGATTTTTAATCTCATCAGAGCTACAACCCTAGTAGCACAATGCATTGGATAAACATTGGCCCAATATTTGGTTATATTGGGCCAATGTTTAACCAATGTTTGCCCAATGCACTGTGCTACTAGGGAAGTTGTTTCGCATATACTGCAGGTATATAATACAGTCAATTCAGTTGACTGAAAATCAAAATCATGTCCTCAAATTATCCTCAAATTAGATATACGCAGTTGTAAACACAAGCAAACACATGATATAGGTTGCGGTGAAACCGCTGCTATAAATGCTTCGAAGTATTTCTCTTCTCCTTCTATCTTTTCTGAAAGAAAGGAGAAGAAGAATACTTCAAAACATTTGAAACGACAGCTTGATCGCAGCCATAATAACTAATTAGTTTATTAATATTTTGATGTTACACTAACCTCGAAATCCGTGCGATTATTCATATTGAAAGGCGCGATGTGTCGACTTGTCGATGCTGTTCAGACAGGACGAACTTCCGACGACTTGTCGCTCTACTACACAATGTCTACGTAGAGGGGGAAAGGTCTACGTAGAGGGGGAAAGTCGCCAGCGACTTCTCGCTGCATGAATTCGCGCCTTTACTTGGTTAGTAGGTAGCGAAGT